AAATACCAAGAGTAAAGAAATAATAGAGGTTCAAGCAGAAATAAATGAAACAGAAAATAAAAACTATACAAAAATATATTAAACCAAAACCTGGTTCTTTGAGAAGTAAACAAAATTGACACACTGTCAGTCAGACTAATCGAAAAGAACAGAGAAAGGAAAAAGAGAAAAAACCAACAATGAAATAGGCAATATAACAGACAAAACAGGAATACAAAAGATCATGAGAAAATTTATGAGTGATTATACACCAACAAATGAGAAAATCTAGAAGACATGGACAAGTTTCTGAACACATATAATTTACCAAGATTGAACCGAGAGGAAATAGAAAGCCTTAATAGACCAATAACAAGCAATGAGATTGAATCAGAATTAAATAGTCTCCCAACAAAGAAACGTCCAGGTCCTGATGGTTTCTCTTCTGAATTCTACAAGACTTTTAAAGAACTAACCTCAAATTGTTCTCAAATTATTTTTAAAGACCCAAAAGGAAGGAGCCCAATTCACTTTATAAGCCTCCATCCTCCTGATCCCCAAAAGAGACAATATAACAAAAACAACAACAACAACAAAAAACTAGACTATTATCCATAATTAACAGAGATACAAAAATTCTCAATTAGATACTAACAAATCATATCCAGTAACACATTAAAAATATTATGTACCATGACCAGGGAGGCTTTAATCCAAAAATGCAAGAGTGGTTCAATGTATGCAAACCAATAAATGCAATACAGTACTAAAAGTGGAAATATAGAATCCATATGATCATATAAATTGATGTGGAAAAAGCATTTGATAAAATACAACATTTTATCAAATGTCATGGTTAAGACTCTCAGTAAAAGTTGTAGAAGAGATGTTCCCCAACTCAATAAAAGCCATATATGAAAAACTCCATAGCTAATATCATACTGAATGGAACAAGACAAGGCTGCCCATTTTCTTCATTCCTTTTTGACACAATACTGAAAGTGTTAGCCAATGCATCAGACAAGAGTAAAATAAAAGGCATTCAAATAAAAAAAGAAGTAAAATTATCTACTTACAGATGACATAATTATACACATAGAAAATCCAAAAGAATCCACATTCTTAAAAAATCCTGGAAATTATGATAAATAAATAAAGTGGTAGGATACAAAATCATCATACAGAAATCTACTGCATTTTTCTATACCAATAATGAATAAACAGGTAGAACTTAACAAAGCAATCCTATTAACAATAGCCACAAAAACAACAAACAAGCAAACAAAATTTAAAAACAGATACCTAGGAATAAACCTAACCAAAGAAGTGAAAGTCTGCTACAAGGAAAATTATGAAAAACTAAATAAAATATAGAAAGTAATACACAAAAGTGAAAAAACATCTGTGGTTCAAGATTGGAAGAATTAATATAATCAAAATGTCAATTCTACTCAAATTAATTTGCAAGTTCAACATAATTCCAATCAAATTATCAGAAACACTTCTCACAGAAATAGACCAAAAAAATCATAAAATTTGTCTAGAATCATAGAAGGCCAAAAAAATACTGTTCAAAAAGACAAAAGTAGGAGCAACTAACTTCCTGACCTCAAAATATATTACAAAGCTGTGATAATCAAAACAGTATAGTAATGGCACAGGTATAGGCATGTAGACCAATGGAACAGAAGAGAGAATCTGGAAGTAAATGCCAAAGCATACAGTCAACTGATTTTCTCTAAAGAGAGATTTTTTTCTATATGGTGCATGCACTCACCAGAGAGACAAAGAGAGACAGAGAAACAGAAAGTGAGAAATCGCTCCCCGGGGAATGGCCATGACACAATTCCTTCTCCTTCATTTTCCTTTTAGGATCTTGGGCACACACACACACTCATGCACCCGGCATGAGTTTTAACTTGTAGGGTCCAGGACTTGAACCATGGTTGATTATGCGGGAGTCCAGTAAAATATCCATTACACCATCTGCTGGTCCTCAGCCAACTGATTTTTGACAAATAGCACAAAATAATTCAGTGGGGAAAGAAAAATCGCTTCAGTAAATTGTGCTAGAAAAAAAAATTAAAAACTGAACGAGTGTTTCCAATTTCTGATGCAAGGCAACAGGTATTATTGAACTTATGTGACTAACATTGTGCCACAAAATAAAAATAATTACAAATAGTTTCCAATTCCAGAGGGGTCAGAAAGGGAGAAAAGTTTATGCTTCAATTTAAAACAACAAACACTCATTATTGCCAGGGCTTTGACTAGAATGTCATATCTGAAGATATGACCAGAAAGCTTTGGAACTAAAGGTACATCTCAAGAAAGGCAACAGAAACTCTTGGAAAGATTTCCTGGCACTTTAAACAGTTCTGCTTGTCAGAGAGGACTAGAAAATCATATGAACGAGTTCGTTCCATAAAATAACCTGGATTTTTCCAGCCCGGCGTTGCAATCAGTAGAGATTGCAAAAGAGCAGCTGCACAAGAGCATTACCTTGAGGAAGACTCTGAAGGAAAAGAGACTGATCTTTGCTAGTAGATGGAAAACCACAGAAGCAGAGCTGAGTTGGGAAGGTTCATGTGTGAATTGTGTGCTAGGTATTTGCTTTTCAACAGTTTGAATAGTTGACATGTAAATATTTTCTAAAAGTATTTAAAATTATACTCTCTTCTATTATAGAGTCATAAACTAAATTATAACAAGCATTTTGAAAGTTATCTTTTAAAGTTCAGTTTTTTTAAATTTTGAAGGTTGTTAGTCTGTTAACTGTAAAGAACTATGGAGTATGAGCAAAAAAATTTTGATATGTAAAGTAAATGGTTGTGAGAAAATGTAAAAATAAATAAATAAATTTATTTTTAAAAATTTTTAAATCTGAGTATCAATCTGCAGAAAAATGAAACTCAACCTCTACCTTTCACCATAACAAAAATCAACCCAAAATTAATCAAAGATCTAAATATAAAACCTCAAACTATAAAACTACTGGTGAAAAGAGCAGGGTAAACTCTTGGAGACATTGGGGTAGGCACAGACTTCTTAAGTAAGACCCCCCAAAACACAGGCAATAAATCCAAAAATAGACAAGTGGGACTACATCAGGCTAAAAAGCTTCTGCAAACCAAAAGGGCAATAATTAAAGTGAAGAGACAACTTTTTGAATGGGAGAATATATTTGTGAATTATGCTTCAGATAAGGGACTGATAACCAGATAAACTCAAGCAGCTTATCCACAAAAAAACCAATAATCAATCCAATTAAAAGATGGGCAAATGAGTTGAACAGGTAACTCCCTAAGGAAGACATATAAATGATCAAAAAGCATATGAAAAAAATAATTAACATCTCATATTATAAGGAAAATGCAAATTAAAACCACAATGCAATACCACTTAATCCTAGTCAGAACGGCTAAGATTAAAAATATAAAGAATGATAAGTGTTGGTAAGGCTGCAGTGAAGAGACAATCCTCCTATGCTGTTGGTGGGAATGTAAATTAATACAATCACTTTGGAGAACAATATGGAGATTCCCTAAAACCTACAAATAGAACTACCATATGACCCAGTCATTCCACTCCAGCATATCTACCCAAATGACAGGAAAACACTGCAGGAAAAACACTTGTGCATCCATGTTTATTGCAGCATTAGTCACAATTGCTACAATATGGAGTCAGCCTACATGTCCAAGAACAAATAATTAGATAGAAAAAAATGTGGCACACATACACTATGTTACGCTACTTAGCAATTAAAAAAAAAAAAAAAGAGAAAGAGACCCTGTCCTTTGAGACAAAGTGGATGAGTATGGAAGATTTAATGTAAGAGAAGCAAGCCAGACTATGAAAGCGGCATTATATGTCCCCTTCTAATATATATACTGGTTGTCTGCACTCTATGGCAGAAACTGAAAGATTGGAAGGTATAAAAACATAGAGAGCATCTGAAGACACTAGAGACAGTATAGGATGTGGTGGAAATAGGGAGAGGGAGAAAGGGGATCAGGAAAAAAATTTAACAGATGCAAAAATAAAAAGTTATTGTTGATAATAATGTGTATAGTATTACCTTTGACTAACCTAATGTGCACTGTATGCATGCTGGGTAAAACCATGTTATACACTATAAAGATGTACATTGATTAAATGTAAATGAAAATATTTAATATAAAAAATTAATAACAGTGATGGATTTTACCTATAGAATAAAATAAGTTTTTAGGAGTATATACTGAAACAAACAATTAGTTGAATAAATGAGTGAAAAAGAACATCTTTTGGTTACTAAACAATTTCAACTAATAGATGTAGAAAGAAGTTTGAGGACAAGCAGAATATTAGAATAGTGTCGTTTATCTCCCCTAAGTTATTTCTCAATTGTAAAGGAAAAAATTGTAACTTTACCATAGAAAAACACAGCAGCTACTACTGATCAGGTTAAGATCAGTAATAAAATACATCAGAATCCTATACCCACTAGGTGCACTGGAAAGAATATATCACTGCCACCTTGGAATTCTGGCCAGTTTAATCATTCGAAAACTTCATATAAACCCAAACTGAGAAGCGTCTGCAAAATACTGATCAGCAATTATCAAAAGTGTCTAGGTCATAAAAGACAAAATAAAAAATAAGGACCTGCTACAGAGTGGAAAACACGATTCAATGAAAAGGTTATACTGGACTAGGTCCTGCAACATAAACAAGACAACAGGAAACTTGATAGAATCAGACTAATGTCTGCTTTAGTTAATAGTATCATTCCAATTTTAATCTCCTTATTTTGACAATTGTGCTTTGGCTATATCAGTTTTAACGACAGAAGAAGCTGGGTGATGTGTGGACATGAAATCTCCTTTTTGCAACTTTTTCATAAATCTAAAATTACTATACAATAATATTCCATATCTATGCTATATAGATTATATTCACTATTTCTATGCTACAGCCTACATAGGAAACACCAGTATGCCCATGCCTCTTCTTTAAGTGTTTTCTTTTTCTCTTACCTTTCTTCCTTCAAGGAACTTGAGTGCCGTGCCAATGTTAGCCACAGCATGGATCCTCTTCATACGACGTCCTTGTTCACAAGGCTATAAAAAGGAAAGGGACAGAAATAAATATAAAAGCACCAATTAAAGAGATAGTTGTAAAGTCTAAGTGGGTTGAAAATATACTTGAGGCATATTCAAGAGCAAACAGCTCAATTTTAATAAAGGTTAGAATATACATAAAAATGTGTAACTCCACCACACTCTAGAGATACACTAATTTATTCAACGAAGACACTCAGGCTCAGATTTTCTGTAAATGCATCTGCCTTTTAGGATTCTGTATGCTCTTAGAATAGAAACTCACAAAACTTCTGTGCTGTCTATAAAGACCATCACTCCTATAGATTATGAAATGTTTATAATACCAGATATAGTGTGTGTGAAATAGGAGGGTCTGAGGAAGGACATTTGGGGGAGGGACAGGGAGGCAAAGCATTAATGGCACAAAGAGGTGTGGTATTATCTGTTGAAGATATTTTGTAGTTTCATCAACTGTACTAGGGAGAAATGGTTACCTTTTTAAATATTCATTTTGAAAGCTAAATAATGTGATTGAATGTATAAAAGAAAATGAAATAAAAAATGGAAAAAAATAATTTTCTGGTCAGTTTTACCTTAAAAATAAAATAAAATAAAATAAAATAAAATAAAACAAAATAAAATATCTAGATGTTAAAGAAAAAAAAGTACTCTTAGTCACTGACCATTTTTTTTTCAATCATACAAAACATGAAAAGACACTGATAGTAACATTTCTTGATTTGAATGTGAACCGAGATTTAAAAATAGGATTGTGGGGACCAGTAGATGACCTAATGATTATGTCACTGGACTCCCATGTAATTGACCGTGGTTTGAGTCCTGGACCCAGTGTCTTAAACTCACAGCAGACGCATGTGTGTGTGTGTATGTGTGTACCCAAGATCCTGAGAGGAGAATGGAGGAGAAGGGATTGTGGTGTGGCCATCTCCCAAAATGATTTTTCGCTTTCTCTCTCTCTCTCTCTCTGTCTCTGTCTTTCCAGTAAGTGCATAAGCCCTATAGCAAGAAAACAAAAGCAAAAACAAACAAAAAAACTCTTTAAAAAAAATAGAATTGTGAGAATGAAAATGTATTCATAAAACAGCGATTGCTGGTCCACAGATTATTTAAGTCATTTGTGGTTAAGTTATCAAAATTTATTATGTGCTTTCTTTGTGATACACTGTTAATTTTCATATTCAAAATAATTTCAATGAAGTAAATATTACTAGCCTCCTTTATATTTTACAGGAACTATGAACATAACACAAGTTAAGTAATTTCTATAAAATTACAGTTAGTAAACTGGTCATTTCTCCATGACCCTATGGCTTTAAATAATCTCTCATTAAAACTCAAAACCATCTTATCTTTTAATTTCCAACTATTACTGTGCCAGGAAATAATTTTTATGATATGATTTTAAACAAATATTTAAATAGAAGACATACTTCTTAAATGTTTATTTATTTCTTACTGAGACCACCATTATATGTGAAACAATCTCATTGTTTGTCTGTGCACATCCCTCTTATTTAGTTTATTTAATTAATTTATGTATTTTTTAAAAATTTCCTAGAGGGACATGTGCCTTCCAGAGAGAGACAGAGAGGGAGAGAGGGAAAAATCACCCCAATCGGTCATGGTCATACTACAACACTTTCTCCTCCGTTTCTCTATCCTATCAGGACTTTTTTTTTTTTTTCCCCCATAGGGCACATGTGCTCACTGGAGAGAGCCAGAGAAAGAGGGAAAGTGATAAATCAACCCTCAGAGGCCATGGCCATGCTGTAAATCCTTCCACTATTAGGAACTTGGGTATGCATGTACACATGCCTGGCATGATTTTCAAGCTGCTAGGTCCAGGACTCAAACTGCAGAGATGGCCATGTGGGATTCAGCACCTCAACCATCATGTCATCTGTTGACTCATGGTGTGTTTCTCAAGCTGCTGGGATCAAGATTCATATCATGTGGTCAGTCATGTGGAATCTGGCTCCCTTAACCACTAGGCCATGAGGCTGCCTTAATTAAATAAATTTTATAATATAAAAAACATGCATAAACCTGCCAACAAAAACAAAACCAGCACCCCAAATTAAATATAAAAGCAATATCCCCCCAAAATACCACTATTCACCCCATCTTCCTACCTTTATACACCCATGGCAACCATCACATTAAATCTAGTCCAGGGACCAGCAGTTGGCATAACAGCTGTATCGCTGGACTCCCATGTGGTCAACTGCGGTTCAACTCTTGGACCCAGTGGCTTAAACTCATGCCAGTCATGTTTGCGTGTGTGCCCAAGATCCCGAGAGGAGAATGGAGGAGAAGGGATTATGGTGTGGCCGTCCCCTCTGGGGATGAGGGGGGATTTCTCGCTGTCCGTCTCTCTGTCTCTCTCTGTCTGTCTGGCGAGCGCACGCGCCCTATAGCAAAAAAAAAAAAAAATCAGTCCAACACTTTTCATTTATACTGATTCATTACATTCACATGCATTATTGGAAAAACTGCTTTTAGTTTTTAACTTTATGTAAGTTTCACCATAGAGATAGAAGGAGCAATGGGAAGGCCTGAGCTCATCGGCAGAGTCCCCTGCCAGCCTGTTATGAGGGAGAAGGGGCAACTCCTGCCCTCAGAGACCACCACCAGCTTCTTGCAGTCCCAGAGACAGAAGGTAGAAGCTGTCACTCCACATGTGCTGATGTTGTTCTGACCCTCACCCATCCAGGAGCTACAGAGAGGTACAGGCCATTTGGCCTGAGCTCATCAGCAGGGACCCCTACCCAGCCTGCTGTGGGGGAAGAGGGGCTGCTCCAGCCTATCTGCAGAAAGTGATCTACCACTTTATATCCTGCCTATCTAGTTCAACTCTGAACCACACTGGGAGTAGAAAGGTATGGGTATACAGTAACCAAACACTGAAGATTGGAGGAATTCTTTCCCCACAATAGCCTCAGCAGTGAAAGGAGAGAAATCTTCTCTGAAAACCTGAGTCCCAAACTCCTACAGTGAATTCCACACTCCTACCCACAGCAGAGAAGGGAAACTGGCACAGACCTAATGCACACCATAGAGAAGTGCATGAGCACACAGCTACAGAAATACACTCCAAAGAAGTAGGAAGAAGTGAGTATATCACCAAATGACTAAAAATCAAAGAAGAGCCCCAAGAAATAAGAGAAATACTCCCCCCACACACACCAATAAACATAATATCTCCTCACCAACAATGGATAAAACACTAGAGATCACAGAAATCTCAGAAAAAGAATTCAGAATACTCATGATAACAAAACTCAATGAGAGGGTGCCAGCAGGTGCGGTTGTTAAGACTGTGGATTCCACATGGCCAACTGCAGTTTGAGTCCCAGATATGGAGGCTTACTTTCTCACTTTCTCTCTCACTCTCTCTCTTTCTCTCTTTCTGTCTGTCTCTCTCTCGCACTCGCTGGTGAGAAAAAAAATTTTTTTAAGTATTAATAGGGACCAGCAGTTGGCATAATGGCTATGTCACTGGACTCCCATGTAGTCAACCGCGGTTTGAGTCCCGGACCTGTGGGCTTAAACTCATGCTGGGCACATGTGCGTGCATGCCCAAGATCCCAAGAGGAGAATGGAGGAGAAGGGATTACAGCATAGTCATCCCCCAGGGAGTGATTTCTCTCTGTTTCTGTCTTTCTGGTGAGTGCACGCACCCTATAGCAAAAGCCTCTCAAAAAAAAAAAAAGTATTAATAATCATTTTAAAATTAAATAAATAATTCTTTTTTAAAAATATCTCAATGAGATGTAAAAGAAAACAGTCAATCAATTCCCGGACATGAGAAAATATTTCCATGGTGTGAAGGATGTACTCCATAAGGAGATAGATACACTGAAAAAGAATCAAATAGAACTTCCAGAAATAAAGAATTCAATGTAGGAAAGCAAAATCTCCCTCAAAAGTATCAACAGCAGATTAGACCACACAGGAGAATCTCTGACCTTGAAAGAAAAACTTCTGATTTAGTTAAAGCAACCAAAAAGAATAGAAGAAAAAAACATTAAAAAGCAGGACCAGCAGATGACGTAATGGTTACATCGCTGAACTCTCATATGACCAACCATGGTTCAAGTCCCAGACCCAGAGGCTTAAAACTCACACCATACGTGTGTGCATGCATGCCCAAAATCCTGAGAAGAGAATGGAGAAGAAGAGATTGAGCATGGTCTTCGTCCCAGGGGATGATTTCTCACTATGTCTCCAGTGAGTACATATACCCTATAACAGAAGTAACTTGCAAAAAAATAAAAGGACAACATACAAGAAATTCCAGACATAACTAAATGGCCAAATAGCCTCATAATAGGTATTCTGCAAGGTAAAAAGAAGGTAAAGAAATAGATCATCTCTTTCATAATACATTAGGTGAAATTTAGAGAGATTTGCAGACATTCAAATCCAGGAAATACAAAGGATACCAAATAGATATATCTATGTATAAAAAAAAAAAAGCATATCATAGCCATATGAAAAATCAAAGACAAAGACAATATTCTAAAAATGGCAAGAGAGAAACACCACGTCACATATAAAGGTTATCCCATTAGACTGACATCAAATCTCTCAATTAAAATAATGTCAGCAAGGAGAGAATAGGAATACATATCTTAAAAGTCTGAAAGAGAAACAATTTCAGTCAATAGTACTATACCCAGCAAGATTATCCTTCAAATGCAGAGCAGAAATAAAACCATTCCCAGATAAGCAAATGCTAAAAGAATTTACCCAAATTATATAAAGGAAGGCTTGTAGATTACATTACTTACATGTAGAAAAATACTAAAGCTATCTCTCTCGCACACACACACACACACACACACACACACACACACACACACAAACTAAAAAAAAAAAGGATAAGTCCCCACATGTCAATAATAAGATTGAATGTTAGGATTAAATTAAATTTTCCAAGCAAAAGGCAAAAAATGTAGATTCAACTATTTTATCCACAGGTTTAAGTGCAAATT